TGCCTCGGAGATGAAAATAGCTGCCGTAGTTGGTAACCATCCTAAGTTATTCCGCCTGATACGAAAACGGGTAACAGGAGACCTGCTGTTAGTGAGACTATGTACGACAAGAGTGGACAGCCCACACACAACTTTTCAAAATGCTTACATCGTTGGACTGAGCACTTTAAAAGACATAACTGGCCGGAAGTGTCGGATTTCTCACTGACCAGTGATTGCGTTGCTCCATGGGCTGTCCCTTTGGGTTTGCCTTTTCGCACAGAAGTCAAACCTAAGATCAGACTGCTGAGAATGAACAAGGCCGCGCCACCAGATGATCTTCCTCCAGAAATACTCAAACTCGGGGACCTGCTCTTGTTGCTCATTTACACAAGTTATTTGTGGAATTGTGGGAGAAGGTAAATGTCCCAACCATCTGCAGCCGCTCCGTTAATGTCCAGCTCTACAAGGGATACTCAAGCTTGGAATGCAACAGCCAGAGAGGAAGCAGCCTCATTCCCATCGGCTCCAAATTGTTGCCTCTGTCATCTTTCACAGACTGACTGGCAATCGTGAAAGCCAGGGTGTTGTCGAGGTCGGGGCTGCATCGATGGCATAGTTACTATACATCCATTGCTAGAGCACCGTCACGCATATTGGCGACACACCGTTGTCGTGTTCCTCGATACGTAAGGTGTCGTCGATTCGGTGCATCGACATGCATTTTGGGACTGTCTGCTAAGAAAAGGTGTGCGCGAGAAATTTGTAAATATTATTCGAGTGCTTTACGCGCGTAGCTCGGGCAGAGTGAGGGCTTGCGGCAAGCTGTCGCCGCCATCCAATATCTCCAGCGATGCAAGACAGGGATGCCCGCTGTCAACTTTCGCTATTGCCGAGGTAATGGAAATCGCGATCAGTGGACACGACTTAGAAGGTGTGGAACTGCTCCCTGGTGAAAGATTTCTTGAGTTGGAGTATTTGACGACATTGCCTCATCCGTGACTGCTACCAATCGTGTCAAACGGCACTAGATAGATTAGCGCTGGCTGTCAACTGCTTCGCCCTTCGCTTCAAACCACCAAAATGCAAGGCTTTCCTCCAAAATCAGCGGCGACTGCCTCCTGCGCTAACTCTCGGTGAGGATCAAGCAGAATCTATTCAGAAATTCAACTACCTAGACAGTCGTATCAGCACCTGTGCAATCAAAGACGAGGTCAAAAACCGTATAGCAAAAGCTCCACGCGCTTTTGCTAATCTTCGCCACCTACGGCGCCGGAGCGACCTCACTCTCTCCTTGAAGGGTAGAGTGTACAATGCAACCGCACGTTCGACCCTACTGTATGACTGTGAAACCTGGCCCATTAGATCGGCAAACATAAAAAGACTAGTTTCGTTCGATCACCGGTGCCTTCTTAGTTTGGCTCACATCTGGTGGGAACACCACGTGAGCAATAAGGATGGTCGGCGCGTCGTTTTTGAGGCAAGAATAGAAAACAAACAGCTCAGTATTGTTATTTCACGAATCAGGCTCCGATAGGTGGGCTATGTGTTGCGTATGCAGAACATCAACGCCCGTGAAGAGCGTGGTTTGCGCGCTGGAGAAGTGGACAGAATAGAGGAGGCCAAATGATGGCTTGGTCAAGAAAAATGAAGACCCTTAGTTCGAATATGACCTGCGTTAAAGCCTGTGGCTCTCTGATTGGAGCCATAAGGATGATAAAGACGTTCGGCTGGATACACAGATATGGCTACGAGACAACCTTAGTGGCGTTTGCTTTGTTTCTCTGTCCCCCTCCCCCCCTCTTACGTAGCCACTCCCTCTAGCCACGGTCTCAATACTTAACTTATTAAAACTTTTATGTGACATAACAGACGGCTGGTAGCTTTCCGGAACAATATCCATGCGCTATTGGTGGCTCAGCTGAGGTATCTCTACGGCGTTTTTTCTTTTCTATTGCGGTACAATAGTTGGGGTGTTCATCAAATCTAGTTAACGTGTATAATGATGACTGCCAAGTACGTGCCTACAAAGCATTATTCTCCAACACCGTCTGCGTTGGTTCGGCCGCTCACCGTGTATGCCACCAGGTTGCCTTTCTCATCACATTTTGTCTGAGCTTTGTAGATTTGACTGAAGTGTGCAGCACGGGACAATCCATGATATTACTTCGTGTCTAGCATTAGTTCAGTCTGTTTATCTCCCACTTTGGAGGCAACGTGACGCAGATCAGAGTTTCACTAAATTACTCTAAAAGTCGATCCGCCATGCGCGATGCGGGAGACCATTTGCGACATTATCATCCACTAGTTAATAAATATCAGAGAAGCTATCAACTTGTTTAAACTGAGGAAAACTCTTCGGTGGCTCTGAGCAAAATGGCGTATTAGACATGAACCGAAGTGGAGCCTAGGTACTAACAAAGAAGCCTGACAGACCAGCGGTTCCAAGAGATTGAGGAGGCTGTGACGGTGGGGAATCAACGCAGAACCTTCCAACGGATCAGCACCGCTGGTCCTAGGAACCGACACGTCAGTGCGACAACCAAGGGCACCAACGGTGAACTAATTCGAAAGAAAGAGCATCACATTCGCTTGTAAATCAAAACGGAAACCGCCGTGGTTCATATTAATGTTAGAACATCTACAAATGCAAATTTCACTGTTAAACAACTGACATCGGCGGAACCATCACCAAGTCTCGACAACCCTCTTCGCAGACGTACAGAACGGAACCTCAGGCCGCCGAAATCGCTGCAGGCCAACACTCGTCAAAAACGATAGCACCCAGCCTCAAGAGGTGCTGCAGGAACACCAAGTGATTCTGCAAAGATATGCACCCGCGGCGCTGACTGCAATAAAAACTTAAGCAAGCAAAGAGCTATGCTGCGTGGTCATCGCAGCATGAGTACCGAACTTAGAAAACAGAACGCAGCGTAGTTTCGTGAACAAACTCATTACGCAGAAACGCACGCCGGCGTAGTGCGTCATTTGTGTTATACTCGGATGACGACTAGCTGCATCGTATTCAGCAAAGTCAGTAAATGCAATCGATGAAAAACCTTGTATTTGTCTCTCTTGCTTTCTCTCTCTCTCTCTCTCTCTCTTTCTCTCTCTGGTCGGGGTGCGTTCATGGGGTCAGGTTCGTTTCGTATTGCGTGCGGCAATCAATTGACAGTTTCGTCATCGTCTAGACTACGGTCAGGTATAACACAGGCGTTATCGCGTGATTGGTCCGAATTGCGTGATCGTCTGCTCGACACATGGGGAAATTTCATTTGAGCACGTACAACGAAAAGAGAGTCTATGGCAGGGTGGCGTCCCATCAGCCTGCAGCGCGAAACTTTAAATGAAAAATTGGGTGAAAATACAGTAATTTTCTTTGCATACGTGTTCAATGTTCCCTAGCACACAACAAACAATTAGTTTATAGAATTTCCGCCTTTGAAAGGGTTAAATACAGCATATTACTGAATATAAGTTCGTCCATGAATAGGCAGACAGTATAACTATGATAACGAAATTGTCCAAAGCCGTAAGTCCCTGTATTAGCCGACCAAAAGATATGCCGGCAAGTGCTTTTCTGTCATGTTTCACCTTTGGTATTTTGCGATGGTGCTTGATTATGTAGATTCCAGTATGTTTCTGTCAATGTCATCCGACTCACGTCATCATTGCGTCTACAATAACGCTATGCAAAAAACGCTTTGACATGTTTTCCCACTTGCATTATTTGATGTAGTTTACTTCACTCGGAGGACGAAATAACGCAAACATAACCATGTGCCTAACGGCCCTCTCCGCAGCGTGGCGGTGAGGATACATGCAGAAGTGCCCTTGTAAGTAGCATGGATGTATCCAAACTGGATTAACAGAACACATCTGTCAAATGAAGCAACATACGAGTGAGCAGTATCGTTTCCCTTTTATTTCGCACGCACTTACTGAACTATAACAGCTCTCTATACTAGTTTGTGTGCACATCCCATTCCCACTGCAAACGATCGTTATGCAGTAGTGCATTTAAATCGATAGACGGTTAAAATGACGATTTACTTATTTGTTGACCTTCCCAAGTTTAATTTTTACTCCAACCATCGTACGGGATATGTCAAGCACATGCATCTTTGCTCGTGATAAATCATTGTTCATTGTCGCGAACGTCAAATGTGCAATATAGCGAGACTTATCGCCACAAAAACAAAATCTATAGTTATAGTCACACTGCCCTCAGTGCTGCGTGTACACCGTACAAAAATGAGGCACTTCAAATCCCCATCGCTAGCGGGTGGTTCTAAGGGGACATAGGGGCAGAGGTGTGCAACGAATTGCGGAGTGAATTTTGCATGTGATTATTTGCACATTGCGCACACCCATTATATAAGCCAATCTCTCTCTACAGAAATTTAAAATGGTCCAAAAATCATCAGCTTACATTTGGTAATATAAGGTACGTGATAACTAAGAGAACACAAGCAAAGAACTGCTCCTTTGGAATAGGTGAATGAACGACTACCAAAATGAAAGATATGTGTGAATGTTTACATATAACTTAATGAGCATATATGCTACGTACCATCCATCAAGTTAGAAATTACGGCCAAAAACTGAAAGTTAATGCTTGTATACGAAACTTTACAAATCGTTCATTAAAACAGAAACATAGTGATCTTAGGAATGGGAATAAAACAGTGGTCAGATAAATGCGTTTGTACACTAGAAATTTTATAAAAAGCCCTTCTTTACTTCCGCTAGGGCTGCAGACTGGTGAAACAATACACTAGAAGAGCCGCAGTTTTGCAACAACTTACAATTTAAGTGGGGCTGGGGTTAATGTAAAAGATACATAGACAATGGGGTTCATAGATGTGTGGTGTTAATAAACATAAAAATGATTCGCATTTAAGCTGCAAAAGATGGTATCACAGTAATTTGTACTTAAGGAATGAATGTGTTAAAACAAAGCCTAGAATCCAGGAGATGAGCTAATATGCAACGATCAAGTTGAGTGATTGGGAACTAACCTGCAATGGGCGTTCAAGCTGGACTTCCCGAAAGCGATCGTTGAATAAAGCATTAGCGGCAGCGTCGCAGGCCGGGATAACTTCTTTTGGAAATGTGATTAGCTGAGTATAAAACTGCGGACACATTTGTCTCAGATGCTCGCAGTCGATGTCCAAATAGGTTAGACCCGACAAAGAGAGATCCTCCATTAGTTGTAGATACAAAGGCCTTGAGGGGTCTAATTCCTGGCCGGTGGTGAGACGAACGGATTCCGGCATTTGAGCGGGGATGAAAGTCGTCAAAAATTGGCGGAAAAGCGAGATTATCCGTGCAATGTTGACGTCGGTTCCCCAAATGACGGGCTGAAGAGCAGAGTAAGGACACAAGGCAAATAATGAGAACAGATTCGAGTAAAAAAGGAATGAATCGATAAACAGCCGTTATCCTGATTGACAAACTCATAACATTTTATCCAAAGAGAAAGTAGTAGTCAAATTCTGAGTAATTAAAACCGGAGGTAAGCTGAAGAGTCGAAGTCCGCCAGAACTGAGTCCGTAAACGTCCAGTGCGGTCAACCAAGCTCAACTAGTGAAAGTAGAACAGTGATATCGGTCGTTAGACAACTGCTGATTAACCACTACTTTCCCTAAAGAACAGCGACGAGTATAAGTGGACAGACGATGTTACGATTGAGGGAGTACCGCGAACGATCAGGAATTACCATTTGACAAAAAGCGATTTATTCAGTGGATTCATTACCTAGCTGAGGATAAGTGTGAAAGCCAGTTCGACCATTTAGGCGTCATCAGAGCTCTAAATGAAAGTGAAGTGTAATATGGCCTAAACCTAGTATCCGCAGAAAAACAGCTGAGTAGAACATTGGAAAAGTCTCGAGCAATCGGACAGCTGTGCCAAGAAAAGAGTAGAAGCAGGGAAGCGGCATCTGTAATTCATGAAAGTGAGTGTTGATGAGACTTTCCGTCCCCAGCTGCAATGTAGTGGAGTAAAGATAGATTAGTTTGGTGACTGAGCAGTGTTTTCGGGCGGGCAACACACAATTTCCGACTAGTTTAAAATACCTTGTTGGGACTTTGGGCAGAGCACAAAGTAGGGGGTAACTATACCTCAGGAGCGGACGGAGCATGGCTGAGGATCGTGTGAAACAGATGGCACACAAACGTGTAAGAGGAAAAAGTTAATTTATAAGTTTTCAACCGCAACGTGACACACCTACCAACAAAGCAAGAGCAGGTGAGTATGGCGAGCTTGTGGCTTAATCATAAGCCAGTGACTGAGTGGTCCAGGCGTCTTGCTTGCAATCCATCGGTTGCCCGGTCGTTCTCGCGTAGATGCGGAAGACCTGCAGTAGACCTAGCCCATGCGCAACTGCTGGTGATTGCGTGACAGCAAAACGTTGGTACTAAGTACCAGCGTACTGCCTATGCTTTTTTGCATTGTTTCGGGTTACAACGGGAAATTATAAGCAGGAGAATATAGTACTTTCCTACTAGCAGAGACGAACTACGGCGCCAAATAAACTGGACTTGTTGCGCCTAAGTCATTATCTGTCAGGGTTGAATATTATAGGAAAAGTCAGTAACCTCTCTCCGACCATTGGAGAGAAATATGATGAGAATGATTTAATATGGTCTCCAACCACTGAGCGGTAAGATAGGAGTGGCTATAGAAGGCCTACGAAACTGCGCATGCATAAAGCAATTCATACACGCAGTCGCACTCAGAACAAATGGGCAATGAGCCTATGCCGTGTTACCCATGTAAATCGATGGTCGAATGACAAAGCAACATTCCCGCAATCTTCGCATCCTAAATCGGTAATCTCTACATGTAGGGCGTAAACAAAAGCGAAACGGGTCGTGAAATGGAGTGATCGGAGCGGGTAAAACTTGGTGTTTATCAGAAAGGAGCTGTTTGTAGAATCTTAGGTCGCTCACAGCATCACAATGTGGAGAGTGGTGCATAAAGAAACAATTCTCTGGCGCGCGCGTTCTAGCGATAAGCAGTGGTGAGCACATTTGAAAGTTGGACATAAGTGATAGAAGTCAGTTTCAAATGATTATCATCATGTGAGCTTTCGAATAACAGTGATTTGCAGTCGAGAAACGTAGTCAGTATGATGGCAATCGATGTGATTTTCAATGCCATATTTTCCAATGAGGCCCATGCGCGCCTGTAGAAATAGTTGGAAGAGTTCAGTTACACAGGATAGGTAGGAAAAGAGAGAAATTAAAAAAGCAAAAGTTGGCTGGCCCTTTGATCAAGTCGAGTTGTCAACTGCTCGTCCTGCTATGTAGTTGCTCAACTCACTGAGGTCTCTCCTAGACCTGTGCCCGAGATGAGTCCGAACAATATAACACTAGGACCAGTGACGTTTGCCTCCTCCGTCGTAAAAGATCTGGCTATTGGCAAAAACCTATCCAATCGTAAACCTCGAATGAGAGAACACTGAAATTGATTTTTAAAAATGGTGCCATACTGAATACTCCAGTCGAAATAAAGTCGCAGTGTCCATCGCGCTGAAGAACTAATCTGGGTCAGAAAGCAAATTTGATGGTGTCCTTCGAAACAAACTGATTCCGGTCGATATTTACTTCAGCCCACATCGTCTGATCACGTGGGTTCGTGTTCCCGCTAAGAGAAACATGGATACCTCATGGATTACGAGATAAAATGACCGGCAAATAATGCAGCCAAGTTCTTTTCCGAGCTTGGAGAGTGGACACATGCCGGAACACCTCTAGGCATTACATAAACCTAGGTGCACGCAAAACATAGATCGACAACTCGTCATAATGAGTAATATGGGTAGATAAAGTCAATAAAGTGGTCCCGGGGGCAAGCGCGGTCATTATGTGTGTGGACGCTGAAAAGCGCAATACAACCACCCGAGCTATGGTACAGATATAAATGCAATGATCGGTGAATGACACCAAATCGAATAGCAGCAGAGTAAGAAGACGATCATTTGGCGAATAAATTGGGTAAATTTCTCCTCCCTGAATAGCTTGGTTGCTTGGAAAAGTAACCAATGTACCAGCCACTGGTGCCGATGACTAAAACGAATGAATGGTCACAAATGAACACGTCGCAAACATGAAAGAAGCGCATTGCTTGCACAACAATGGAGGAAAAAGCGAGGCTAGCAGAATGGGCTTCCAATCATCAAGTTAAGGCATCAGCAGTAGGCCGGGACGCAGTACTGACGCTTTGCTGTCAACAAGCACACAAGGGCTAAGGATACCTGGAGAGTCGCCCGGTCCTTACGCAGGCCCAAACCCGCGTCCTCGGATTACAAGACACGTTAGTGATTCTTAAGGCTACAGGTCGGCAATCATCAAGTTAGAGCAAAGCAGAACGAAGAGGCTTCATTAACGGTGCAATGGTGGAACCTGTGAATGAGAAGTACAACGGTAAGTGATACAATAATGCTCCGCCGATATTTGAATAGCCATGATGGAAAAACGCAAGGAAAGATGTGAATCATGTGAATCACTGAAGTAACACTACATCAGTTAGAAATGAAAGTGCAAATAATATATTATCATGTTGTGTTGATGCAAACACTAATAAAACGAGTAGCACATAACCGAGGAGTAACTACCTGTGGGCCAGAAGACGAGTCAGTAGTGATACCAACCCCACCTTCGGTGGGAATCAAGGGGCCAGAGCGAGAAAGCAAGGCACGCACAGCTGCGTCATCATTAACTCCCGGACGAAGGGAACTGAAAGCATCGCCACCGGCCGTTACACTCGACATGTCGCTATAGGAGAGAGGACTTCCCGGTTCGACTTCAGAAGTACGTAGACCGGATCGGAGATCCTGCAATAGAACAAGTTGGTCAACAGTAGATGAATGAGCAGCACATTCGGTACACTTGAAGAATTTTGCCCGATAGAAAGTTTGGATAAAATTAACCAAAGCATAACACGTGACTCGCATGGTCGAGATTAAAACTATTTATTTAGTTACTAAGGTAACAAGAAAACGTTAGAAACAAGGCTACAGTTAAATTAGACGATGAGAATGGATGCAAAAACATTCCAGAACGCCTAGGCAGATTGTGGATGCAGGGTTGCTGACTAATCTAAGAAGCACAAGTAGTGGTTGAGCCAAGCACGTTAACTGTTAAACTTAACAGAACCCCACACATCATTTACAAGATAAATTGTTCGTACGGTGAGCACTACATTGCCAAAATCACGAAAACGTGGAGTTATCACTTTGTACCATGATGAGCTTACGGCGCTGTTGCCATCCTGCGATTCTGGCATTAAAGTTTCGGGATCAACTTCCGTAGACGTGGATCCAGCAGCGGTATCAGCTGAGCGATCACCACCAAACACATCGGACGATAAAGCGGCATCCGACGGGACACGCCTTCGTATTCTTCGAGAAGACATGTAAGAACTGAAGTATAAAAACAAGCGTTAATGTTAAATAATGCAGCGACGTCATTCATCTAGTGAGATAGTATAGTTCAGTCATTAACCAATAGAAAAGATTGGCGAATTGAGTATAGAAGTGTAAAGTTAAAACAGGAGGCACCAAGAGGCACCTAGTAGGGCCAAGCATATTGCAAAGTTCGGATCAACTATCCAGTAGCACAGATGAAAGTATTCGTCGACATGCTAGGATCCGTCGACCAGTCAGATATTTCAGACCCAAAGAAGCGTTGCCCGCCATCTCCATTAATGTTGCTCACGCCGCCTAGGTGTGAATGCCTAGGCATAATTCATGTGAGATAAGGTCGATGAAAAAAGAAGCACTGCAATTTTAAAAGAAGTACTCCAGCACTTGTGTGGTAGCCCGAGGTGTTAGGTTGAGTGTCAATATAAAGACGGAAAGACTGGAAGATTGCCCAGTATGCGGAACTTCTCACCAGGTAAATCAATGTATCCAGAATAACCTGGATAACCAAAGTTGCTAAATAATGTAAGTTCTATATTCCTCGACTGTACGAGATACTGTCCAACTAAGTGGCTTGGTCATTAGGTATAAGATCGGATTGTCCGTTGTCCAAAGTATTTCCAGGTAGGTTTTCTGGGTGTTCTATCAGTTAAAAATGTTAAAAAGACGGGGAAAGTTGAGAGTAAGGTGAAAGTGGTTATTGCAATAGATACAAAAGTAGTAATACGGCTATCCGTGGAAACGTTTCCTAGGGACCTGCTTCCATGCAGTAGTCCGCAATCCCAAGCCCCAGCTAGCCATGTGCCGGTGAGGCGTAAGAGCATGTAATCATCATCGTGTTAGCCCATCTTTAGAACCCTTGTTATATATAGAAAGATATAGGCTCTCGGAGAGAAATCTACTCTTATTTTAAGCCATTCAGTATGTTTCAACATCTAACTCTTTCGAGCCTGGCACTAGTTACTTGTCAGTAGGTCTGCTTTAATTCGCCCCGCGTGAGTGTTGTGATTAAATTGGAAGCTTCACCCCATCTCCTCAGGAGATCGGTAAAGTCGTGGCCAACAATTGACAAAAGAAATATGAGGAAACAAAAATAGCGATGACTGCCATATGTCAGAAAGTTTCTGCTTCCGTTTGTACATAATACATGGAAAAGAAGAATACATCACAGAGGCACGTTAGCTGAACCACCGGTAGCGGATGGGCACTGATCCGAAAAAATGAAAAAAATGATGAAAGACCACTAGCTGTATGTCGAAGCAGCGTTTCTCTGCAACGCAACCACCACCAGTCGCGCGCAAGCCGAATATCACGCGAGAACAACCACCCCTACGCCGATTCGAACCGGTGACCTTTTGGTTGCAAACCATGCGCGCAAAGCACTCGGCCACAGGCCGGAGAGCTCGCAGCCGTCTGTGCCGCGAAAAAGTATATTATACTTCATGAATGAAATCGTGGTTGGATAGATGCTAAGTGAGAAGGTGAGGGACAGAGAAACTAACAACACAAACACCAATGGGGTCGGCTCCTAGTTATTTCAACAAGTGTATCCAATCAAGCGTGTTCGTCATCTTTCGGGCCCCAACAAGAGAGCTAGGGACTGTAACGGAGGCCAAACTCGAACTAAGGGCCTTCGTTCCTCTTGACCAAGTCAGAGCTTTCCCTCCTCTTCTCGTCTTCCATTCACATCTCCGAGGTGAAAATCACACACTTCGCGGGAGTCGGTGTTCTGGTATGAGCAATACGTAGCTTACCCATTGGAGCCTGGATTGTGAAATACTAATACTGAACTGTTTACTTTCTATTCCTTCCTTAAAACAACATGCCGAACGCGCTCATTGCTCACGTGGTGTTCCCACAAGACGTACGCCAAACTGCAAAAGCAACGGTAGTCGAACGTAACTAGCCTCTTTGTATCTGCCGATTCAATGGGACAAGTTTCACAACCATACAGTAGGGTCGAACATGCGGTCGCATTGCACACACTTTAGGAAGAGATTAACGTCGCGTCTGCACCGTAGATGGCGAAGGTTAGCAAAAGCACCTCGAGCTTTTGCTATACGGTTTTTGACCTCGTCTTCGATTCCACAGGCGCTGATACAACTACCTAGGTAGTAGAATTTTTGAACGACTTCCTGCTGATCATCACCATGGGTCAGCTAGGGAGGTGGTCCCTGTCGATGTTAGAGGAGTTTTTCACTGCGAGGGTGTAAAGTAAAGCGCGAAACGGCTAAAAGCTAGTGCTATTCCTGTGGCAGTGCGTACGCGCGGGCCTTACCACGACCGCACTTCGTAGCTTGTGATTGGATGCCTGTCCATTCGCGATCAATACCAAGATACACAGCTACATCAGATGCGATGAGAGTAAACTGATTTTCGTCATTATATATCCCCGAATTTGCACACTGTGAATTTGTGTACGATTCGAATTTTATACGACGTTAGGATGTAATGGAAATGTCTTTGCAGGTAATTGTCGCTAAATGCTGGACGGGATAATTGTTATCCGGCGATGCCGAGTCTAGCTCCATAGTCACTGGATACAGAAGTGTTAAGCCCATGGAGTGTAAACGGTACGTATGTCAGGAGCAGGGAGCTTGGGTTCCAGCGAAGCAATTCGTCGTGTTTCTGGTTGTAATCGTCTTCTGATAGAAAAAACTTTCGGTGCAGTCGGTGAGGTGGAAACATCATTTTGTTGGTCAGTTAACGCGGCTCGACGCCAGCGGCATCATCTGGCGAAGTGCCAGTTTACCATAGCTTTTACATTTAGCTTTACGTTCCGGACGTGTTTGACAGTCAGCTTTTTGGCGAGAACTCCCACATCTATAGCAGGAAACAGTCGCTTTCTGAGGTTGACTGGAACCCTTGTGCTGAATCTTACTGACTTCTAGTATATCACTCGACTTGATTAGGCTCGAATTTTCAACGGCGGCTTTAATTAGTCCTGGGATCTCTATGGCTCTCTCCCAGGTAAGTTTTGAAGGATATTCGGAAAGTAGTTTTTCGCGTATACGATTACGTTTATACCAATTATCAACTGCTGCGTCATCATAACACTCTCACGTTTATTCTTCGGGATGCTAGTGTAGTCACAGGTTTTTACAGACCGAATTAAACGAGTGACAGTTTGTTCCAGTGGCTCTGCATCTTCTTGCCTCAAACAGCAGAACTTGTAGCGTTCAGCGAAAATATTTGGCCGTGCACCCCATGACTGATCGAGTACATCCAATGCCTTTGTAACTGTGTTGAATTTCTGCAGAACTAACGCATCGAAATAACGTTGACATTTATTGCAAAACAGGTGACGAAGTAGTTTCCGTTTTTGCTTCTCATCATAAGTAGTAGTTGCTGGGAGTAAGTCCAAGTAATTTGTGAAAGACTTTCTCCATTAGATCCAATCAGTCTCCTTAGGTCTATTGGCAGGATCGCACCAAAAGGATTCTGGAGTTAGAAGGTGAAA